AAGTGCTATTTTGCTACAACAATATGTATGTAGTTTGATTGCTGCAACAAAATGTAGTTTGATATATTAGGTACTTACGAGTACCTAATATGTATATCAAACTACATTTTGAAATAACATATTTATAAAACCTATACCAATTCATAAATAAACAATAATTACGTCTCCATCCAAATAATGAAATCTTTCAGACGGATCGTAATTTGGTAGTTTAAGATCGGAATGGAACAATACAATCGTTTTACCTGCGCAAATTAAAATTCAGATCACAAAACAAAATACGTCCTTTTGATTCCTTAGCCATTACGGTTAATTGAATTTCGGTGTGGTCCTGAAAACGGTGTAGGTAATAATATACACGGTGTTTATCAAATCGTAGTATTGAAATAACAAAATTATTAATGTCCTTAGTAATATTACTATAACTTTTTATCAGGTGAGATGCAGGCCAAGGTCTAAAGAGCAGCTGAAATACAATTTCATCATCATCATCATCATTCATCATCATTTTTAGCTATAGGACATCCACTGCTGAACATAGGCCTCCCCCAATGATTTCCACAATGGCCGGTTGGTGGCGGCCTGCATCCAGCGCCTACCCGCTACCTTTATGAGGTCCTCAGTCCGCCTTGTGGATGGAGTTCCTACGCTGCGCTTTCCAGTACGAGGCCACCACTCCAGAACCTTACTACCCCATCGGCCGTCAGTTCTGCGTACTATGTGCCCTGCCCCGGTGCCCATTGCCACTTCAGCTTGCTAATCCGTTGGGCTATGTCAGCGACTTTAGTTCGTTTACGGATCTACGTGATACGGTCTCGTAAAGAAACACCCAGCATAGCCCTGTCCATGACACGTTGTGCAATTTTGAGCTTCTTTATAATATTACTCTCACAATGGCTGAAAAATAAAATGAAAATAAATAAGAAAGAATAAATACTCGGAATTTTGAATACCACAAAGTTGCAACAATGACAATAATGTATAAATTATATAGTACCCCTCATGTTATGCTAATTATGCATGTGTTAAGAGTAGATTACCCTTAGCAGGTGTGTGCCTGTACCTCTGTGTGCTATTCGTAAAATAGAAAAGAAAAAAAACTCCTCAGTAAATAATAATAAATTAATAACATGTCACCTCAATGTGCTAGGATACTCATCAGCTATTGTATAGGAACAGAAATGAGTTTTGCAACGGCTCTCCTATATCTAGTCGGCCTCAGTGCTAGGGGAAATGTTGATGGGAAATATAATAACTGCGCTAAGATGGAGCCGTGAAAACACTGGGGTTCTGTATTTTAAATCAATTGAACCACAGCTGTGAAAGGCGTGAGTTTTTTCGGTTTAATTTCAAATTTTCATGAACGGTCATGTATATTTCCTGAAAGATTTTATAATGTGGTTAAATGAATTTTGATCACATACATTTGTTGTGAATTTTATTAATCGTTATATTACTCCAAACAGTTTGATAGCAGCTTGAAAACTGAAAACAATTACCTACATAAAGAAATATTACACTTTGTGTGCCTATAACTCATTTAGGAATCGAATCCAGAAGTTCTTAGTTATGAAAATCGCAACTCAATGGAACACGGAATCCTTTAAAGAGAAAATCTCTAAAGAAGTTTAGAAAGTTTTATTTCACTGCACTGGACGCCCGTATTCACAAACGATGCTTGCTTAAGTGACGCAGCAAATCGAACGCACGGCGTTGAATAGAGCTCTGTGATTGGTTCGTGTGTGATTGTGTGCTTCCACGCGCACTGTGAGACCTCATAGTAATGTTTGTGAATACGGGCGCTAAAATTGATAGTCTATTTCTTGCCACTGCAAACTTTGGACAACAATACCGAGTTCATATTAGTTTAGGACATTGAAAAACAGAATTTATTGCCTTCAAACTTTTTGCGCTAAAAACAACTCTAAAAACCTATCAATAAGGTCGTCGACATGTCTAATAGTTTATAGTATTTATGACTTGATCGGCAAAAGTTCACGGGGTCATTGACCCGCTGAAATGAACCTGAAAGACAATCTTTAATAGCACATTTGGCGATTAAAGGAAAGGCGTTTTTTACGATAGCTACGGTGACTTACGGGTTATGTGTTTGTTTTCAGATCAAACACTGATTTTTTGACAGCTACAGTAAAATATCTGCTTTTACACCTCACTAGTTATGTGACTTTGTTGTATTTTTTTAAAGAAATTTAGCGGAAATGTCATAACATCGTAAGCCCTTACTTCGACTTCTAAGTAACGCCGACTGTCCTTTCAGAAGAACGAATAATTTGGAGTCGAAAACACCGAGCACTTCTAGTAAAAAAATTCTTTGTTAGAGATTGTTGGATAGATGATCAAGGTATCAAAATGATACCTTGACACTACTATTTCTCAACTGCAAGTTAGCCTCTTCATGAAGTATAGTATAAGTATTAAGTATTCTTTAAAAAAACACATTCTGAATGAAGACGGTGTCTTTCCCTTCGCTAAATTGGCGCCATTAAAAGAAGAAATAAGGAAAACGTTTCTTTCGCATATCAGGACACTTTGAAATGGTCATTTCTCATCCCGTCATTTCCTGTGGACCCCCAAACATGAAAGGTCATCCGATTACGTCCCCCGGGTAAAAGGGTGGGCAGGAACAAGTTTGCAAAATGACATTTATATTTATTATTTAGGGTTTTGCTTGGGGCATGAACGAAACCACATTTAATATTATTTGTTGTCTATATCTGATATCATTGGGACGTTTTGGACAGCTATGTTTAGACCCAAACTCAGTAACGGTACCAGACAGCAGCTAAAGATATCCAAATACCTTTTATTGTAAGTCCCTGGTGGTTAATACAAATAGTTTGACATTTATGTTCATGTTCGCTCATGACACAGAAATGTTGATAGTGTGCGGGGATTAAACTATCGTCCTGTGGCATAGCAGTCCAGTAAAGGAAAATAAATTGACTAGCCTACTGTCACTTCAGTTTGGGAAACTTATTTATTTATTTATGACACATCAATACATTTTGATATACATCGCGCTTGGACTTTTGATCACCAGTGTGCCCGAACATTTGCTATTCATTCATAACCCAGACTATCAGAACTATAATAGGTCCAGTATACATACAGGGTGGAAACGATAAGTGATCTCACTCGATTATTTGTAAACTATACAAGATATCTAAAAACTGGTTACTAATATTGAAAGTGCTTCACGAGCTATTTCAAACTGGAACTTTTGTTTAGAAATAAACGAGTGAGATCACTTATCGTTTCCACCTTGTATGTACAATTGTACATCAAGTTGTACAGACAAAGCTAAAAACACTGTGACATCTAACGCAGTTATAACAGGTGCTATTTTGCGACAAAGGAGAGTATGACGTGCCATTGACAGCACATCAAGACTATTCATTTTTGTTGCAAAATCGTTCTTATATACAGCTACATAAGATGCCACAGTGTTTTACTTGTTATGCTTGATGGTTCATGGTTCTGAAAATATCCAGTGCGTGTGTGCGAATTAAATAAATAATGAATATCTTGCGGCCGCCATCAGTCCACATATTGACATTCCATACACTTCGACGGGGACGTGTTGGGAATAAACCCTGAAATTTTCATGACACGTACGACTTTATAAATTCATGCTTTTGAGGGTAGCATTTGATATGCGAAGGTTGTTATTAAGTAATCTAATTTAAAATGAAAATTAGAGGATGCATATTAAAAATAAAGAAACACAATTTCTTATTTTTTCTTTTCTTCATTAATTTTCAGCGTTTTTCAACCTTTTTCGTGACACCGCCTTAGTATGAAAAAATATTTTGCAACCCCGATCGCTTTTTTTTCATGCATTTTTAACCGACTTAAAAAAGGAGGTTCTTAATTCGATCCATACAACATTTACACATTTGCATAGTTAGATTTCTGATAAAACTTTACTTTTTTTTTACTGAAGTAGTTTTTAAGACCTCTCACAGGTTGAAAAATACTGTTGTCTGTGTATAAGAAGTAAAGCAAAGACAAAATAAACAGCGATGATGAAAGATTTAAATCTATGCTTGAATATGAATTTAGGTTATAGCAGGTCATTATTATTGGCATGTTAAGTGAGAAGTCTGCTCTGTAAGTGCCTAAGCCCATTCACTCTCGCTTTGAAAAGGCCCGGATTTAAGTGTTCGACAAATACAGCATCAAGCAGCAAATTCCAGTCACTAGCTGTTCGCTTTATAAAGAGTTATCGAGACGCTTAGCGTGAGCTGGTAGCTGTAAGGGCCCTCGCCCACGGCGACTTTTTGTAGCGATGCAGTCGCTCTGCTGTAGCGCATCACTTCTGTAGTGCGTTGCAAATGCGACTAACGCGCGTTAGTAGCGATGCCTTGGGCGAGGGCCCTAAGTTGTAGTAGCTTCTGTAGAAACGCTTTCCTCGATAAGATTTGTCCAATAATCCCTACATTGTTATTAAATTTTTAGCGTTTAGAGTCGCATCTCAAACTAATTTGAAAATTATAAATAACTTGAAAAAATCGAACGCTGGCTGTAACAGCGTATTACACTTGAAAATTTCGACGGGTTCATCCAGTGTCTAAGTAGCTCAGTTGGAAGAGCAGTCGCCCGGCAAGCGGAANCGTCCCATATAGTGCCGTAAGTCAGCCTTAAGTACGATGTTACTACTTAAACTGCTATTATAATGCTATTATACTGCTAATGTACAGCCATAGTGAACTTAAAGCTGTCTAATTTGTGCCCAAACTGGTTCTATAAAAGCATTATAGCAAGCTATACAGCTCGTATACAGCTGACATACACAGCTTGTGGAGTACATGTGAACGACTATTGAACTCTTAAATGGAGTAAAATGTTACTTGGGCAATTTCCGGCATTGTCTTTTAAACATCAAAATAATAGTTATTTATGTAATTGTTTGGGAAGATCTGAATCTTTGTAGTTACACGGTTTTTTTTAAATTTTCGATGGTCATTTTTTTTTTCAGATAAATACACAGTAAAAGGAAGAGCTTTAGTGTTTATTCCTGTTAACGGGTCAGGTAAAATGTCGTAAGTACTTAATTAAAAACACCTAACTCTAAGTAGTACTTAATACGAGTAAATGGATTATTAATTTTATTTTAACTAATAAATGTTTCTTATTTATTACTAACTAAGTAATTATCCTACTTATTACCTTGTGTAACCTAGGCTGGCATTGAAGTATGGATTCGTTAATAGAAATAAAGTGTTTTGCTTGTCGTTTCTAACACTTGAAAGAGTAGTTAATAGGCTATAGCTAGAGTTTGTATCTTACCTATTGTTTTTTTTATTTTCAGCATTAATTTTGGAACAAACCAGTTAAAATTTTCGATTCGACTTCAAAGTAACAGTTCGGACACCTGGGTAGACTCTTTGCAATTGGCGTTTCAAGTGGGCAGCATTAAGGTAAGATTCTGCAAATATTTCGATTAAGTGTATTAAGTACTACGTAGTACTTATTATTATTCTGTGGTATTACGATTCTTCCTGCTTTCCCTTACAATTTCTGTAAGGAAGTACCTAAAATCATGTATGGAAAATATTTCGACCTTATAAGCAATTAACTCTAGACCATGTAAGGTTTTCGCCAAAAAGTTTTCAGGCTTTTCCATTTTCATTCAGTAACAATATTTATGTTTAGCATAAGTATTTTTGCCTTTGTTTCTGAGAGGGGAAGTGTTCATATTATAGTTTCAGACTGTTTCTTTATTCCTCTAAACATGTCTCAATATTTTCAGGCGTCCTTAGAAAACGGTCCGGCAGCACTCAGTGCAATTCTCAACAGTTCCGGCGTCAGCATAATCCAAAGCAACCACGACGCCATTGTACAGGTGGTCCGGAATTTGATCCTGCCTGTGATGAACAATTTCCTAGCTGGAATGACGCCTGACCAGCTGTTCCAGACTATATCTGGAAATAGTACCATATCGCCGAATGTCGTACGCGTTTAATGAGACTACATTCTACTTTGTATAATATTTATTGATTTATAACTAAGTAGAAGTGACTTAATTATTATTTATAAATAACTACTTAAGTAGATTGTTATTTTTTTACGAATTTTTACAACGAATCACGAGTGCAACGAGTAGGTACCTAACGATAGTCGTTATTAAGTAAGTGCAAACTAATGTCGGATATGGCGCCTCCAATTTCGGAAATTCGTATTTTGTGTGTAGATTTTTTTATTTCTTAAATCTGCCGTCCCTTATTAAAATTTCCCTAGGCTCCAGCTTATTCAGCCTGCTGGTAAATCCGCCACTGGAGAAAGAGTTAACTAGTTTTAATTGCTAAGTAAAAGTAAGTCTGTACTACTTTCTACATCAATTTGTTAAGTTTTATTGATTAACAATGAAAACACCTTTTAAACAAATAAGTTTTTATTAAATAAAAATGTTAATCACCTTTTTCACAAAAAAACTAGATTATTTGTTCTGTTCATCTGTTCCTTCCAACTTTATTTTAAAACAGCTCTCTTTTCCTGGTATCTGGAAGAGATCGCTTCCTAGCGATCGGACCGCTTAAATTGTGTAGCCTCGGGCTTAGTCACCGGCTCACCACGCATTCAGTGTGGTGGACGCACACTAAGAAAAGTCGCCGAGCCTACGCAAGAAACCGTGACATTTCTACACCCACACGAACTGTGTAAGTACATTGATCCGGCGCTGACCAAGAAATAATTTCTTGTCTGCGCTAGATACGACACGCGGTGGACGCCCGTGATACGCAGTGGACGTTTTAACGTTGGTTGTTAGCTAAATGAATATTTATTTAATCATCCAAGTCAAATAATATGACTGAGTTAGGTTATACTGATGAGTTACTTATAAACTTAGTGGAGGCTCGACCCGTATTGTGGAACAAAACCTTAGAAATTTACAAAGAAAGACGAACCACTTTTGAAGCATGGCGAGAAATATTTATTATTCTGAACAATGATTTTGAAGAAATGACAGATAAACAAAAAAATGAATATGGTGAGTAGGTACAACTTTATGCATTGCTTAATTTTCAGTGTTTAAAAATTTACATGCAGATATTTATCTTGCGCCATCATCAGAGGAAAAATATTTACTTTTATGACGAACTCAATAGCTCTCTTCAAAATGACCTAAATTTATCTGGGGATAAATTACCTAGTTATGATTTTTTTTTCATTCCAGGTAAGTCTATAATGAAGAAATGGAATAACATGCGCGATCGTTGGATGAAATGCAACAAAAGACGTAAAGAAATGAAATCGGGATCGGGTGCGAAGAGCGTTCGTAAATGTGATTTCTATGATCAAATGCTTTTTTTAAACAAAGTTACAACACGTCTTGAAACTGATGGAAACATACCCTTAGCTTCAAATGTGGAAAAATCTCCCAAAATTTCACCTATCGCAAAAAAAAGGATAAAACAAGAGGATGTTTCTGAGGTAGACCGAAATAATGCGCAAACGCAATTCATAAAAACTGTTACTAACGAAGAAGAGACACAAGAAGAGAGTCGTGCCATGGCATTTTTTAAAAGCATAGCATTGAGTGTAGATAAGTTTAGTGATGAGGAAATGGTCGACTTTCAATTTGAGGTTATCAAACTGGTGCGCAACACACAAAAACGTAGGGGGAATGATGTTCGGCAATAATGGAATCAAACTGACAAAATATATTAATACCCCGAGTATTACGAAACAAGGCAGTCTCATATCCCATCATACTCGACCCGGCCAGGCTATAACTACTAAAAACCCTGTCGCTCGTACCGGAAAATACCTATACAACTAAACTGCAATTTGTAGTGGGATACAACGTAGGTACACAGAAGAATACGATTTTGACTTTTCTAAAGAATATGAATATCGACGTCTATTTCTTTATTGTTGATTAAATGATAAACCTACTTAGAATTATTTTATTTGCTTAGTTATACCTACCTCAACGTTACAGCCAATCTTATGTATGGAGGAATACTTACTTTCTCGCATTTTATTATGTATCTTCGTGTTTTATTTCATTTTCTAACTTAACAACTTGTCAAACGTGGAGATTTTCATACGAAAATACTTAGCTTTTCTTCATATTTCGCATTACGTGATATAGAGGAATGAACCCACCAAACTCTGCTTTTTGTTGTTTAATTGGATGAACCCAGTAAAGTCTCTTGCATTTTTTAAGTAATTCCCAAAAAAAAAATCAAATCCTTTACACAGCCCGATTTATCTTGTTTGTAGCAGACACGACAAATTTTCGTAACTAGGTCCGACGAAATTCTTGTCGTGTGCTTACATGATGACTTTTGTCTTGCCTTCGGCAGACACGGTGAAATTTCTTAGCGTGTATAAGCTCATGTCCCTATTTTTTCACCTACGATAAAACAGTTAAAATTGACATTCTTAAAAAACAAGAAACTAATTATGTAAAGGTAAAAAAACTTTAATCACAATAGTTAATAATAATAATAGATCTATTAAGATTTGTACTAGGATTATAGCACTGATTTAATTATTTTGTCAGATAATTACGCATAATAGCAATCTGGCGATAAACATAGTTTATGTCGGTATCTACTTAGGTAAGTAGCATACCTAATTTGATGCGAATTACTTTGATTAGCAAATAAATTATCTTAATCTCAAAAAAAATATATAAGAAGGACACCTTTGAAGATAATGGAGCACAGCTTTAGCATTGTCTGGTGCGTAGCTGTTGAATATTCAAAATGAAGGTTGTGAGTGTTGTTCTTCTCTCAATTTTGGCGTTAGCCAACGCGGGACCTACGTTACAAAATATACATTTTGGTAAGTTACACACCTGCTTTCTAAACTTCCATTTGTCGGGGTTCAATAACTTATTGTTTCTTTATTCATCCTTCAGCTGATAGCTTCCAGCAAAGTTTAAGTCCTCAAGAATACCACGTGAAGCTTGCAGCTCCAGACACTGAACTGTCAGTGGAGGACCATGTCGTGGAGTACTTCAACTCGCTGGACCGCCAAGAACGCAGCTTCATCGGCGACGTCATCAAAAACGCCCTCGAGGGCTTCAGGGATGTGGTGATCAATGGCAACGACGACGTCCCCGTCTTGGACCCCTTCGTAATCGACCATATGGGACCTTTCCTATTCACTGCGACCGGGTAAGTCGAGTGAGTCACATCAAAACCAGCCCTCCCCACCTTCTAATAGGTGGCACCTAGACATGTTTTGTGATCCAAGACACCTTTGACTTTTATAAAAGGAACGCGCCAAAAACAATTCGTCTTAACGATTTTTTTCTTTTGGCAGAGTCCGCGGTGAGGCAAACATCCGTAACTTCAGAGTGGAGGGTCTCAGATGGTTCTTGGTGGACCACGTCACCTTCAACGCTCTCCGCCTGACCTTGGGTCTTCAAGTTACTGTCCCATGGATTACAACCACCGGTAAGTCTACTTAGTCATAACAATCATACTATTATTATAAATGCGAAAGTTGGGATGTCTGGATGGATGTTTGTTACTCTTTCATGCAAAAACTACTGAACGGATTTTGATGAAACTTTACAGTATTATTCTTTTTTAACCCAGAATAACATATAGGCTATAATTTATGACGATCTGCGACAAACTAAATTTCACGCGGCTGAAGCCGCGGGCAAAAGCTAGTATGTTCATATAAGAATTAGATTTTTGTTGATATTAATTTATTTAGTAAAGTCAGCTGTTTGGCATTAGGTACTATGCTAAGATATTAATCTTATAATCTTATAATAATAATGATTAATATCTTAGCATTTTAAAATTCAAACAAAAACAAAAAGATAAATGAAAATTCGGATAATCACTAACCTTATAAAGTATGTTCGGGTTTTGTCGGCGAATTGTTATGGGCCTTTCATTTAACTTATTCCGTCCTAAGATGTTTTTAATATTATTGATTCCGTCAGACAAAAAGCCTCGATTGGGTCTATAACTCTAATAATTTATCAGCATTTCTTAAGAAGACTTAGTTAACATAATTATAATATTATTTTCAGTGGCGTAACTATAGGGTGGCAAGTCGGCAAAATGCCACGGGCCCCCAGCCCGAAGGGGCCCCCGGTCAGAGGAAATCTCAATTCCCAACATTTATTATTACACACACATACTACTTAAGTAAAAAAAAGTTTTGTCTTTAATTTATTTGTTACCTTCTTAGTTGCATACACAACTAAAAAAAAATATACCTAGGTCGATGGGTGCCTGGAATAAAGCCACAATCGACAAAACACAATTTTACAGGAGAAGAGATTTAGTGTCAATTTTGAATAATTCTAAACTACGAGTCGTATCAAAACGGTTTGTATATCAAACGATGCGTTATTTTTTCTGGAGTAACATTTAATGTGCATAAGGTTATAGTGCTTAGAATATACTTTAAAAAAGGTAGAAATACNTTATTATTATTATATGTTAGGTGGTGTAACTCAGCCTTAATGTTGTTTCATTTATCAAAAGTGTACTTACCAAACATTAATAAAATTACACTTTTCTACAGAAAAAAAAAAAAAAAAAAAATATTTTGAAACTCGCAAGTACTCGCAAGGGAATCAAAACCTAAAGGGTACTTCCAGTCGACCTAGAATCTTGAAATTTGGCATGAAGCAACGTTTTATAGCACACATAAAGGAAAAATTCCGAAAACCTTAAATTTTTAGTTGCTGTGGGGGGTCAGGTTCGCTCCGATGTAAAAATAACGCCGTTTTAAATGTTCACAAAACAGTTTATTGCAAGTATTTGCAAGTTTAGTACACTTTTGGGCAAACACGTGTTTCTTGCGCGCGGTAAGCTAACGCGGTGTCGCTCCGAGGGCGTTTTGCAGCAGACTGGGAGACGCGTGAAATTGTGTGCGAATAAAACTGCCGCGTCGCGTACCAAACCAACGACACCGAGTTACCCTCCAATAGAAAATAAAAATTGTTCTTAAACTACCGTTACATCTATACTTCTATACTAATATTATAAAGCTGAAGTTATGGAATATAACGTTCAACCACCATAAGGAGCTATGGTGCATCTAATTTGCCGGTCTTGGTTTGTCTATATATACTGGGCAGGGTAAAAAACTTCGTCACCGCGATGCAGGATTGTATGCGCGATGGAGTTTGCCATAGTAAGATCGTAACAGCGCCATCTGTTGGTANTCTAAGTAGCTCAGTTGGAAGAGCAGTCGCCCGGCAAGCGGAAGGTCGTGGGTTCAATTCCCGCCTTAGGCAGTTCGATTTTTTCAAGTTATTTATAATTTTCAAATTAGTTTGAGATGGGTCTGAAGAGGCTCGTGTTGGGATAGCGTGTAGATCGCGGTGGTCGATCTTAACTGACAGTTAAATATTTGCAACAATATTTCTGTTAGATGTAGGGTAGGTATACTTAACATTGATGAAACAAACGCTGGCTGTAACAGCGTATTACACTTGAAAATTTCGACGGGTTCATCCAGTGTCTAAGTAGCTCAGTTGGAAGAGCAGTCGCCCGGCAAGCGGAAGGTCGTGGGTTCAATTCCCGCCTTAGGCAGTTCGATTTTTTCAAGTTATTTATAATTTTCAAATCCCTACATTGTAGAAGTGACAGCTGAAATTCCCGAAACAAGGGTAGTGCCATCTCGTTTGAAGGTGTAAGCCGGTGGAAACTGGTTCAATCAGGCTTAATCTGGCCAGTTCACGTTACATTACAAGGGCTTAGTGCTGGAGGTCCTATTAAAAGGCGCTGCACTTTCTTCACTTTAAACGTTCATTGTGAGTCATAAGCGGCAGCGGTTTTATGATGTTTTAAAATTCCAGCTGTAATGAAGTAGGTTTTATCAAATTATGAAGATGGAAACTATGAGTGTTGATATCAGGACTGTTTTCACAAGAATAAAGTGGCAACTAGCTGTTCGATAAAAACCTTTTAGACAAAGGGAACTCTCAGTCAAAATGACTTCTAACTCAATTAAAGGGATATTTTCTACTACTACTGTATTTCTAAACAATTGAGTGAACAAGTCGCCACTACAAGTTGCATCTGGAAGACGATCAAACTGCGTTGGCGTGGGATTTAAGCTCGTAGTCTCACAACTTGGGTTTTAATGTGCGAGGCCGCTACGTTTCAATAGACTAACATACTCGTAAAATATCGAATATGCCATGAAAAGAGAAATCGCTATGAGCTCGTGCCTTGCACCTTCAGCGTCCACTTCAGTAGGTCGGGGGCTAAGCCTCGATCGCAACAAGCGCCCGTCGTTATGAACACGATTGTTTGAGCGCTCTATTAAAAAGAAACCTCATTTTCAACCGACTTCAAAAAAGGAGGAGGTTCTCAATTCGGCCCGTATGTTTTTTTTTTTTCTATGTTTGTTACGCGATAACTCCGCCAATTATGAACCGATTTGAACAAATCTTTTTTCGACGTATAGGTAATACCTCAAGGGTGGTCCCATTTAAATTTAATAATAAAAAAAACAACCCCCAAGGGTGGAAAATTGGGGATGAACTTTTTTATACGCAATATCTCCGTCGATTATAAACCAATTTGAACGATTATTTCTTTGTTGAATAGGTATTATCAAAAGGGTGGTTTCATGCGAATTTGAAGAAAATATTTCACCCCCAAGGGTGGAAAATTGGGGATGAACTTTTTTATACGCAATATCTCCGCCGATTATGAACCAATTTTTTTTTGTCTCAGTGTACTGCCTACCTTCAGTGGTAACATCAAGGTAATAATTAGTTAACTAAAAAGCAAGAAATAAGTAAAATTTTATAAAAAAAAATAAAACCGACTCCAAAAAACCTACACTAAAACGTCGAAAAATAATTACTAATTACCTACTTATTTATTAGGACGAATTATTAATATTTATGTAGGTATACCATGATTGATACTTTTGGAGTCGGTGCAGGCAAACTTTACATGTTTCATAATCTTGGCACCGACTCCAGAAGTATCAATCATGGTATACCTACATAAATATTAATAATTCGTCCTAATAAATAAGTAGGTAATTAGTAATTATTTTTCGACGTTTTAGTGTAGGTTTTTTGGAGTCGGTTTTATTTTAAAAAGTAGATTCCAATAAAAAGTAGCCTATTTCCTATTCTGAAATGTAAGATATAATATTGTATAGTTTCACGAAAATTCGTTGAATCGTTTTTGTGTGAAGAGGGAACAAACATTCATGGACGAAAAATGTCAACCGGGATTCCTAGAAAAAGTACTTCAAACAGGACAACCTATTGAGCTTGACACATTGCTGTCACCCTTTATTCTGTATTTGTCGATGCAAAGCATGTCAACACAGGCCCTGTTAGCCATGTCATAGACAACCCAGACATGTCCTTTCAAGGCAAATTGGCATCAATTGATGCCAAGAAGTTTTGGGAAATGCTGATTAGTTCCCAGAAGGGGATCAGATAGGGGTAGAGCGTAAACAATCCACTTAAAGTGATCAACTCTTCTCTGGAACTTGTCGATCATAGTTTATCATTACCCTCCCATATTGCAAAATATATCCATTTATTAACTTCATCAAGTGTCTTGATTGATCTTTGGACCTATAAAATAATGGTTTTTCATCCCCGTTTTGTAAATATTTCGACTAGTTTTTTAAGCTAGGCCAAAAGTTAGTCAGGTTTTAAAATGTAGGTACAAGGCTTAAGTTCTATGAGTACAAATCACAAGGTTTTCAAAAATAAAAATCTTGTTCTTGTCTGTATATTTCTATTTAGTTAACAAAACACTAATTTAACTAAGCTTAATAATGATATACCTTAAGAAGTTTTTGTCTGTCACAGAACAACTTTATCGCGCGCGTCCCTGTTTCAAAATCCGGGATAAAAACTATCCTATGTCCTTTCTCGGGACTCAAACTATCTCTATACCAAATTTAATCAAAATCGGTTCAGTGGTTTAAGCGTGAAAGTGAGACAGACAGACAGAGTTACTTTCGCATTTATAATATTATAGTATAGTATAGATCTCTACGGAAGTGGGCGTTAGTAGTCGCACCACAGTTTTCTCAAACTATTGCGGCTATTATCGTACACGCTTTCTTATGTACAATTTTTCTTGTTTCCAATAAATAACATTTGAATTTTTTGACCCTTGAACGATCGGTATCTTTGAAATTTATACATAAACAAAAGTTAAAAGTTGGTAAACCACCAGTTTTATTATTAGGATTTGTAATTTGTAAATAGTTCATCACATTGGCTGGCCGACAAAGTTTTGTTACCAAGTCAAAGTTAACATCAGCCTAAGCGGCAGGTTATTTCTGTAAATATCCGGCTAAAGTTAGTTGTTGATACTATTCTGGTGGAGATTTATTTCAGTTTTAGTTTTGTGCCTTTTGATTTTAGTTTACAAACGTAGGTTTAAGTTACTCGTGTGTAGAAGTTTCTTTTTATTTATAAATAAACACGTCATTCAAAACCCACAACCTATCAGCAACGATTTGT